ATTAATTGTTGAAGTACTTGCTCTTGAATGACAATTTTTACCAATTTTTAGTGTTTTTGCCTATTATCTTGAAAATGATAATAGATAGAAAGACACTTTAATTAGCAAAAATTTATCAGCAAGTCTAGATCTACAAACAAGTCAACATAGTCGAAATTATTAGTCGATTCGTTATTGGAGTTCTGGCTCTTTCATGACGATTTTTACCATTTGTTGTCCTTTTCGCCCATTATTTTCCAAACTATAAAACATAGATAGAAACTTTAAATGACAAACATAATCAGCAAGACAAGATCTTCAAACAAGTCAAATTTTGCTGAAATAGTTATTTAGTAGAAGACTATTCATAGGAGTGATTGCCTTTAAAGGACGATTTAAAAAAGTTTTAACCGGATTTTCGAAGGAAAAATCGGTTATTGATTTGGGGATGTACGGCGGGCGGGCGGGCTAGCGGCTTCAAAGAGTGTCCGTTCATTAACATGAAAACGCTTTGACAAAATCTTTTCTAATTTAGATATGTTGTTTCCTGTGACTAAATGAAGGTAAAGTTCAATTTTCACGATTTTAGCTGTTCTCGTTGGTGAGTTGTAGACCTTTCAGTAGCAAAAGTGATACTTATTATATGATTTATTTATTTTGAGTTATTTCCCTTTGAACAGAAATGGTGTAATTAATAAGTATATGGATAGATAGTCTATCAATGATTGTATCTGTTTTATTCGTGCAATGATTTCCACCTTTTATCAAGATAACAAACATGTGGTAATTATCAACTAACAAAATTATAATTGAAGTGACAGATTTATTTTAAAGGGGCACTAGCTACGAGGTACATCCAAAATTTAAATTATGATTTTTTTTTTTTCAATCATTAATGAAAGTGAAATAGTGAAATAATAATTCGCTATTAGCAGCCAGTATGGTTCAATTTTGTCAAAATAAGCTAAGAAACATCGATGATGAATTATTCACTTGCAAGTGAATAATTCGACCTCATTGAATCCGTATTCATGTGAACTTCAATTTAACCCCTTAGCTAGAGATGGATTATGCATGATTGATGAGTTTTATGCTATTAAAAGAAAGGAATGTCAACATTGAAAGTGAAACAAAGGTAAATCATTTGATTGAGTGATTCGATCCACAAAAAATCATTCTTATTCAGGTAAAATCGAAAATTAACTTATTTTTTTAACCTTAAAGTTGAAATCAAACAGACATAAAAAAATCCATTTGAACGAGGTCCATATATCTATTCATATTTATGTTTATGTTTATATCGTAATGTGACCGTCGGTTGTTTTCGGGGTCATCTCGATAGTTAATTAGATGGCGTGTAGACTAAAATACACACGAAACGAAGCTACATATTATCGATCCCATGCCCTATAAATTGTTTATTTTAGACTTTTTATAATTTGGATAAATGTTTTACATTGTTATAAATCTAATATGAGAATTTGAGTTAAATCAGTGAACATGAATTTGACAGCTAGTGCCCCTTTAAAATTTTGTGTTTCCTAAGTGTTGTTGATGATAAGCTCTGTAGGACATTATAAATATAGTTTGATAATTTACTGCTCATTATTATATATTTTGAAATTAATTACAGATAAGTTTTATAGATTAATATTAATTATTATTATAGTATTAATGATAAGTTATATTTTTGAAATTTATTTTTCTTTTTTTTTTTTGGTAAATGTTGTGAAGAATTTTGTGGTAGGCTTGTTTGTTATTCTGTATAAACTAATTTTTCTGAATGCTATATGTACTTATATATTTTTTTATGGAGCAAACTCCTTTAAGAACTAAAACTTATATTGTTTATTAATAAATATGTATTAAGATTTTTTTATTTTGAGCCCAGTTTTCAAGTTGGTCCTAATCAAGGGTTCAAAATTAAACCGTTTGATTTCAACAAAAATTGAATATATGGGGTTCTTTGAAATGCTGAATCTAAACATTTTTTTTTACTTGATCCTGTTTGGGGGTCCAGATTTGCAATATCATTTTCATGCAGGAAAATTCGGTTTGCTGTCACTCTGACAGACTCTTTTTTGGGGGTTTTGTTCTAGTCTACAATGTTGGAGAGTGTCAATCGATGAAGATGCATATATACCTAGGTGAGCGACACAGACTCTTTAGAGTGTCTAGTCTCTTATTATGAGTAATAGGATAAATACATTTTGTATATACGATCCTTGCACGGCCTGCAACGTCCTTGAGACAGGGTTTATCTGATCTTCAATTCATTTTCAAGTTTCTTTTGTCAATGTTAAGTAATGTTGTCATTTTAGTGTTAAATTTAACATTGCCATAAAAGCGCGAAGTTTGGCTAGCCACAAAACCAGGTTCAACCCACCATTTTTTCTTAAAATGTTCTGTACCAAGTCAGGAAAATGGCAGTTGTTATCTTATAGTTCGTTTCTGTGTGTGTTGCATTGTCGTTTGTTTTTTGTTGCACTTCAGTGTTTTTGTTGTTTCGTTGTTTCGTTCCTCTTATAGTTGATGTGTTTTCCTCGGTTTTAGTTTGTAACCCGGATTTGTTTTCTCTCAATCGATTTATGACTTTCGAACAGCGGTATATTACTGTTGCCTTTATTAATTGTTCAAGGTTAGGTCTGTGTTTCAGTTGCTTTAAGCAATAGGTCAACTATATTTGTGTATGGAATGATTGTATGGTGTACATGTCTGTGAGGAAGGGTTCCTCACACCATAATATCGTTTTGTGGATTAACTGGTAATCATTGTCTTCCTGATGCTATAGACATGATAATAAATTGGTGTACGGAATGATTGAAAGGTGTACAAATCTGTCTTGCAGGATTCATCTGACCTTGACCTTATTTACATCGATTTTTGATAATGTTAGGTTTATGTGATAATAGTAGTAAAACCTTTATCTTAAAGACTTTCATGCAGCGTAAATTCAATCATGATCAGTAAAGCTGGCGCGACATTTCAGCGTTTTCACGTGCTGTGGGGGACATAGAAACACCGGGCGTCCGTCTGTCCGTCCGATCTTGTTAGCGCTATCACGTGTTCAATTATTGCCAGATTTTATAAAACTTATATCATAAGTTTATATCAGCAATGCCTTGGACATGTTTGAAAATCAGTGCCGATCATTTATTTATAAAAGAGCTATGTCCCTTTGAAACATTAATTATATGGAAAATTGCATCGTTAGCGCTCTCATTTGTACAATTCTTGCAAGATTTTTGTGAAACTTATATTATATATTGATATAAGAAGATGTGGTATGAATGCCAATGAGACAACTCTCCATCCAAGTCACAATATGTAAAAGTAAACCATTATAGGTCAAAGTACGGTCTTCAACACCGAGCCTTGGCTCACACCGAACAGCAAGCTATAAAAGGCCCCAAAAATTACTAGTGTAAAACCATTCAAACAGGAAAAACCAACAGTCTAATCTATATAAAAAAAACGAGAAACGAGAAACACTTATGAACCACATCAACAAACGTCAACCACTGAACATCAGGTTCCTGGTGCAAACAAATGCAGCGGGTTTAAACGTTTAGATAGGTACCATCCTTCAATATAGGTTTATATTAGCAATGTCTTCAACGAGTTCGAAAATCAGTGCCGATCAATTATTTTTTTAAAAGAGTTATGTCCCTTGGAAACATCAAATATATGGAAAATTGCATTGTTAACGCTCTCATGTGTACAATTCTTGCCAGAATTTTATGATACTTAAATCATAGGTTTAAATGAGCAATGTCTTTGACAAGTTCGAAAGTCAGTGACGATCAATAATTTCTAAAAGAGTTATGCCCCTTCGAAATATTAATGATATGGAAAATTTCCTTATGAGCGCTCTAATGTGTACAATTCTTGCCAGATTTTTATGAAATTTATATTATAGGTTTATATCATCAATGTCTTTGACGAGTTCAAAATTCAGTACTGATCAATTTTTTTTTAAAGAGTTAGGCACCTTGGAAACATCTCGTGTGTACAACTACTGCCAGAATTTTATGAAACTTATATCATAGGTTTATATTAGCAATGTCTTTGACACTTTCGAAAATAATTGCTGATCAAATATTTTTAACGAGTTATGCCCCTTGGAAATCTTAATTATAATGGAAATCACGTTGCATATCCTCTGAAGCCTTCATTTCCCTAAGATATTAATAAAAAGTTTTAAAGAACAAATTATTTTAGTTATTGCCCTTGTACCTTGGATAGATAAAATATGTGCAACGTGGGGGACATTGGAACTCTGTTCTTTTATCTTTTTTGTTTTCCATACAGAGTTTAGGAAGAACTATTAAGGTACAATTTTGCCTGTTTAGTCAGATCTCTTTATGCCAATAATACAACCTTGTCAAGGCCAAATTTTTTTTTTTTTACATTGGCTTATGATACTTGCTTTGAAAGTGTATTGCTATATGGCAGTGAGTCCTGAATTGTCATGACCTTTATGTGACCTTGACCTTTGACCTAAGGTTCAAATTAATTTATTTTGTGGGGACATTTTCTTTTCATATTTAGTATATATGGGTTCAACACCTCAATATGCAAATCATGGAAAATGACCTCTGCCCTTGACTGGTTCAATTAAAGGTCAAACAATTAAAACAATGTATTTTCATGTAATTTTGAATGATGTTATTATCGCTTATATTGTTATAGAATGTTTGATGGTTAACCGAGACAATTTGTTATGGTCTTGCAATTAAGTATACATATATAAGGGGGGTATTTTCAAATAAGATTTTATGAAAACAAGTAGTTATCCATCTAAGAACAAACATGTAAATAATTACAGGTCACCATTTAGCCTTCAACAATGAATAAAATCGATGCTGTTTAGTAACGTATAAAAGGTCCTGAGATGACAAAATGTGAAATAACTTACTAAGATTTAATCACTATTTTATGTCTGTTTTAAATGATAATGCATAATTCATATAAATAGTCAGATTTTAATTTTAATTTAGCTACACTTTTATATTTTTCAGATCAGATAAAAAAACAAATAGAAGACTGGGAAAAGAAAGATAAGATGTTTGTGTCTACAAGAGCTAGTGATTATGTCATGGAAAGTTTACGGCACAATAGTTGTGTGACTTTAACTGCCCCATCAGGAGTTGGGAAATCTTTTATCAGTAGACATACAGCACTTATTTTACAGAAGGAAGGATACAATATAACACCAGTGGAATTACCAACAGACATTAGAACTTATTATGAGCCTGGTAAACAGACAGTCTTCATAGTAGATGATATTTGTGGAAACTTCACTGCTAACCAACAACAGATTGCGAACTGGGAACAACTGTTACCTGTGATTTACACAATTATTGCAGACAAATGTTGTAAGATTATTGTAACTTGTAGGTTACAAGTCTATAAAGATGATAAGTTTGATATATTATTCCCTTTTAAATCCTGTGAATGTAATTTGATATCAGATAAGTTATGTCTTACATCTGTAGAAAAGAATATTATAGCAAAAACCTATATTGGTACAAGCGTGGACGATATAGATGAATTATCACAAAATAGTGAATTCTTTCCTCTTTTATGCTCGTTATATCACGGAGGAAAAAATGGAGATGTTATAGAATTTTTCAAAAATCCGTTTAATGTCTTTCAAAGTAAACTAGACAATTTAAGTAGGCATGGTGATGGAGGAAACTATGAAATATGCAGTCTAGCTTTATGTGTTCTCTCTAATAATCACCTAAAAGAAAAATGGTTCCAGGGTAAAGTGACAGATAAACAACAACATATCATAAAAGACACATTTGATGCTTTTGAAATCAACCGAAGTACATCAAAGACAAAATTAAAGAAAGTAATTGATACCCTAGATGGTACTTTTATATGTAAACAGAATGGTATTTATAGAACTGTACATGATAAATTGTTTGACTTCCTTGCTCATTATTTTGGTCAGAAAATGATCGAATGTTTGATAGATCATGGTGATTACGATTTAGTACATGAACGTTTTATTTGGCAGAAATCACAAGCTGACAAGAACAGTAACATAGACTTCGTTATTGAAATACCAGATGATTATTTGGAATCATATTTTAAAAGGTTTATAAAGGAATGGTCAGCAGGAAAGGTGAGAATTATATTCATTAACACAAATATGACAGTATCATTATTTAGACAACAGTTTTTACGGCACTTAAAACAACTGGACAAATCACAGCAAGTAACATTGGTCAATACCAAGGATACAGTGTTACCAAAAGAGCACCATGAATCAGGCACTACTTCACTGGTAATGACTTGTTATAATGGTTATACTGATATGGTTCAGTGGATGTTACATAATGATGTGGATGTGGATCAGTGTAGAGGTGATGGGGTTAATGGACTGTACATGGCAAGTCAGGAAGGACATATTGATATAGTAAGGTTACTGTTAGAGAAAAATCCTAACGTTGATCTATGTAACAATATATTTGGCTTCAGTCCTCTGTACAGGGCAAGTCAGAAAGGATATACTGATATAGTAAAGTTACTGTTAGAGAAGAACCCAAATGTTGATCTATGTAACAAATTTGGCTGTAGTCCTCTGTTCATGGCAAGTTTGAATGGACATACTGATATAGTAAAGTTACTGTTAGAAATGAATCCTAATGTTGATTTATGTGAAAATATATATGGCTTGAGTCCTCTGTACATGGCAAGTAAGCGCGGATATACTGATATAGTAAGGTTACTGTTAGAGAAGAACCCAAATGTTGATTTATGTGACAATAATGGTTTTAGTCCTCTGCATTGGGCAATTCTGAAGGGATATACCAATATAGTAAAGTTACTGTTAGAGAAGAGTCCTAATATTGATCTATGTGACAGAAGAGGCTATAGTACTCTGCACAGAGCCTGTCAGCAGCCAAAACATACTAATATAGTAAAGTTACTGTTAGAGAAGAGTCTTAATGTTGATCTATATAACAATAAAGGCTTGACTACTCTGTACATGGCAAGTGAGGAAGGATATACTGATATAGTAAAGTTACTGTTAGAGAAGAACCCAAATATTGATTTATGTAACAATGATGGATGTAGTCCACTGTACATAGCAAGTCAGAAAGGACATACTGATATAGTTAAGTTACTGTTAGAGAAGAGTCCTAATATTGATCTATATGACAATAATGGCTGTAGTCCACTGTACATAGCAAGTCAAAAAGGTCATACTGATATAGTAAAGTTACTGTTAGAGAAGAACCCAAATATTGATCTATGTAACAATGATGGCTGTAGTCCACTGTACATAGCAAGTCAAAAAGGACATACTGATATAGTAAAGTTTATACTGTTAGAAAAGAACCCAAATGTTGATCTTTGTAACAATGATAGCTGTAGTCCACTGTACATAGCAAGTCAGAAAGGACATACTGATATAGTAAAGTGTCTGTTGGAGAAGAGTCCTAATGTTGATCTATGTGACAAGGATGGCTGCAGTCCCCTGTACATGGCAAGTCAGCAACGACACACTGATATAGTAAAGTTACTGTTAGAAAAGACTCTTAATGTTGATCTATGCGACAATAATGGTTTGAGTACTCTATACATGGCAAGTTGGGAAGGGCATACTGATATAGTAAAGTTACTGTTAGAGAAGAACCCAAATATTGATCTATGTAACAATGATGGCTGTAGTCCACTATACATAGCAAGTCAGAAAGGACATACTAATATAGTAAAGTTACTGTTAGAGAAGAATCCAGATATTGATATATGTAACAATGATAGTTGTAGTCCACTGTACATAGCAAGTCAGAAAGAGCACACTGATATAGTAAAGTTACTGTTAGAGAAGAGTCCTAATGTTGATCTATGTGACAAGGATGGCTGGAGTCCTCTGTTCATGGCAAGTTGTGAAGGACAAACTGATATAGTAAAGTTACTATTAGAGAAGAATCCAAATGTTGATCTATGTGAAAAGGATTATGGCTTGACACCACTGATCTGGTCATGTTTCAGTAACAACACCAGTGTAGTCCAGCTATTGATGAAACATAAACCAAACATTAATGCCCAGACATATGATGGTGTTACTTCCTTATATTTCAGTGCACTGAATGGACACATAGAGATAACAAAGTTACTGTTAGAGAACTATGCTGACTGTAATATATGTATGTATAGTAAACAGTATATAACAGATACATTTATTAACCAGAAAACATTTGGCAAAGGAAGACAATTGTTATCTGATAATCTGGTAGAGAATACATCATCACATGTAACAGATTATGTCAGTGATAAGTCAGAGGATTATTTCTTTGATTTAGTAGCGGGATCTTCTCCATTACACATTGCCTGTTTTAATGGTAGGACAGATGTAGTCTGTTGTCTTCTGGACCACAATGCCAACATCAACATGAAGAAAGAAGATGGCACCACACCATTATTTTATGCATGTGAAGTAGGACATGAGGATATTGTACGTTTATTGTTAGATAAAGGAGCAGTTACAGAGGTATGTAGACTTGATGGAAAATCCCCTTTAGACATTGCAACAGATAATGGACATACATCTATAGTAATGACTGTAACAGAAAATATGAAGAAGGAGGAAACAAATTCTGCTTAACTCTTGTTCTATAGTAAGTGGTTCTGAATGACATGTAAAAAAAAATTTCAACTTAGCCTCACATTACTTGAATATTTCTTGATTTTATCACTAGGAAACCTATTTGGTGTAGGTGCAGTTAAACTATTCTGTTGATGCCAATGAATACAACTGCACCACACGTAGTAAACATTATAATTATATCAAAACTTAGTAGTTTTCAATTACTTCATTGTTTTACATTTCTTTCTACTTGAGAGTCAGATCAGTTTTTGTGCGATTTAATTTTCATGCTAAATGTTCCATATTTTACTGATTTATGAGATAGTTACACTGTATATAAGTATGGACTACCATTGTAGGACATATTTAAACTGTATATAAGTATGGACTACCATTGTATGACATATTTACACTGTATATAAGTATGGACTACTATTGTATGACATAGTTACACTGTATATAAGTATGGACTACCATTGTATGACATAGTTACACTGTATATAAGTAAGGACTACCATTGTATGACATAGTTACACTGTATATAAGTATGGACTACCATTGTATGACATATTTAAACTGTATATAAGTATGGACTACCATTGTATGACATATTTAAACTGTATATAAGTATGGACTACTATTGTATGACATAGTTACACTGTATATAAGTATGGACTACCATTGTATGACATAGTTACACTGTATATAAGTATGGCCTACCATTGTATGACATAGTTACACTGCATATAAGTATGGACTACCATTGTATGACATAGTTACACTGTATATAAGTATGGACTACCATTGTATGACATAATTACACTGTATATAAGTATGGACTACCATTGTATGACATAATTACACTGTTTATAAGTATGAACTACTATTTTATGTTTATTGCTATGTTGGTTCATATTTTAATGATATGCATGATTCCTGTTTTTCTACTATATGTTATTGATTTATCTCGTCATACGCATGTAGATTTAGTTTACAGACTATAATGCAGATTGGCTGTCATAAAGAAAGTACAAATTCTGTTAGAAAAGCTAAACCTAAATACAAATAGATATGAAGTATGGCTCAGTTTTAAACAGCGACCAAAAATAAATCGAGACTCGCAACTAAGCTTCAAAGCACCAGAGTTCTAAGAAGATGTTAATAGATAAAACAGATATGACAAAATGTTATGTCAAGATTCTTTAAACAAGGACATGAATGAGTTTTGACTATAATTTGTGAGTACTCATCTTTGACGGATATTATTTTAAGCATTAGAAGAACAAAGTTTTTGGAATGGTGTTGACATTTTCTTCCTTTTGACTTGTCAATGATTCACTATATGGTCTTGTCTCGCCGGATACAAATGATTGAGAATGCGAGACATACAAATGCTTACCTGGCTGTGGCAGCATAAACTTATTTTTAATTTTCTTTTCTTATTTCAGAAGGTAGAAGAGTTGAATGTTTAGATTTTTAATATTCTTAATTATGAAGGTTCAAAGACTTATTTTAATTTAAAATGTAATGCTAATTGAAATTTTATTATTTATTTATGTTTGTACATTTGTTAATGTTATGATAACTATATAAAGAAAACATACCTTATTGTGATGTCTACTTTGATTTGTTCTCCTTGTGTTTAAATATTTTGTAAATTTTATAATTCTTATATCATTTATGTCTTAGACTCACAGAATATGAGTAGTATTTAAAAAACGTATTATATTGATATGAAATAAGCATACATTCCACATTTTAATCAAGTCTTAAGATATAGGAAAAATGTGACAGTGACACAGAATGTTATATTTGTTTTGTGAGGGTCTGGATGGGAGGTCCTTCGTTTCTGTATTCTTTAATTTTCTAGGACATATTTCTTTATCTTTTAAAATAACGCCTATTCTGTAAAATTCTCCTGAAAATGATTTTACTGTTACATCTGTAATTACATGATTTCTTTATTTTGTACATCGTTCAAATCTGTAATCAGTATTATATTACATAATTGGTTTATTTGCCAAAGTCATTTTTTTTATACTTTTACAGCCTGTTATTCTCAATACTTCTCCATATGTATTAACACATAACTTTTTGATAAAAAATGTATTGGTGTAATTGTTTATAGCTTGCTTAGGTGACAGCTTTTGCTGGTGTTATTTTACTGAACGTAGAGATTTTGTTATTTTTCTCATAGAACAGTTTTATCATGTGGGTTTTATTTTACTGAAGACAGTTTGTTATTTTTATCATAGAGCAGTTTTGTTATGTGGGTGTTATTTTACTGTAGTTAGTTTGTTATTTTTATCATAGAACAGTTTTACCAAGCTGGTGTTATTTTACTGAAGAGAGTTTGTTGTTTTTGAACTAACAACAGTTTTGTCATTTTTGATTTTTGCTAATTGACGAAGAAGAATTTTTAAAATGGCATCTATAACTATTTAAAAAAAAACAGTTTTAACTTGGCAGATTCAACTATTTGAGAATAATGTCCATGTAAGACCAATTTTCAAATTGGAAGCTTTTTACATTTTTGTGTCATGCCTCTGTATCTGTAGGAAATACATTTTTAACATGACAGCAATTACTGTTTTGGAGAAATCCCCTGTATAAAGTTAGCTTTCAAATAACAGCTTCCACTGTTTTGGAGAAATCCCCTGTGGAAAGTTAGCTTTCAAATAACAGCATCCACTGTTTTGGAGAAATCCCCTGTAGGAAGTTAGCTTTCAAATAACAGCTTCTACTGTTTGGGAGTATTCCCTACGTCAACAAAATTGATATTCACTATAATGTTTCTTTAACCTCATTTACACAAAGGATATACTATTTTTAGGACTTTACTGTCAACCAACATTGCAAATATTTTAGAAAATTAACAATTGTATATTTTTTAAAGAATCTGTAATATCAAAACCCCCCATTTCCAATATATTCCAAGACTTAGTTAAATCTGTAGGTTGATCATTTGGCAAAACTTGGCAGATTATGGAAACCTATATCTTAGTATTTATACTAACAGTCAAGAGATGTCATGTGAACAATGTATACTGAAGTCTATAGTAAAAGTTTTTGTAAAATAACCACAAAATCAATCTTCAAGTATTGTGATAAAAGGACTCTGAAGGTTTGATGTATTTAAATATATTTGTAATTTAAAATCTTTAGTAAAAATACATACTGATTATTACCATTTTGTAATAGTTTGAATTATATATTGTTTACATTGTAATATAAAAATACATGTATTATGTTGATATAGAAATACATGTATTATGTTGATGTGATGAGATATAGAAATACATGTATTATGTTGATGTGATGAGATATAGAAATACATGTATTATGTTGATGTGATGAGATATAGAAATACATGTATTATGTTGATGTGATGCGAGTCAGAAACAATAATCATAATAAATTGAGTTATCAGTATTATTTATTTTTCATTAAATTCTATCTGTTATTTTGTTATAAAATATAAAAATAAGGGGATGTGGTATGATTGCCAATAACAATTGTCCACCAAAGACCAAATGACTTTGATGTTAACATCTATAAATCAGTGTACCACTTTCCAGATGAGGGTAAATCCAGAAAAGCGCTTCGGACGCATGAAATTATTTAACGTATTGTTTTCATTTTTTTTCATCAATAAGCAAAACCCATGACACGACAAAATGTAGATAATGCCAAACAAGAAATCTAACGGCATGATTTATGTAAAAAAGAACAATAAACAGAAAACAAAAATGACAGAAAGACAATAACAAAGAGGAACCACTAACCACATTTGTCTGTTATTTTCTAAATACTGCCTTAATTTTCAAGCATCCATGAGTGATTTATTAAGTAGATTTCGTTATACAGTTCATGAGATTAAAGGTTAAACTCTAGTTAAAACATAGTTAGCAAACCAGAAAAGAATGTTTGAGGCATGTTTTGGCTTCCTAATTCTTGAGAATTTTTTAGATAGATTTCTTAGTTGAGTTAATGAGTCTTTAGTTGATCTGTTAATTTTTTTTAAATACGATTTAAGATAATATTGTATTAGGATGATCTGATAATTTGTTAAAAAGAATAATCCAGAACGTGTCATCATTCGTTTATCTGTTTATTTGTTAAAAGAACTATTTGCGATAGTGTCATCTTTGGTTGATCTGATTGTTTTTTGAAAGTACCATCATCATGATTTCAGATAGTGTCATCTTTGGTTGATCTGATGAGTTGTTAAAAGGATCATTTCAGGACGTGTCATCTTTGGTTTATCTGTTTATTTGTTTCAGATAGTGAAATCTTCGATTTATTTTTTAATTTATTAAACGGATCATTTCAGTTATTGTCATCTTCCGAATCGGTTGATCTGTTAATTAGTTGAAAGGACTATTTCAGATAGTGTCATCTTTGGTTAAATTGCGTTTGAACTATAGTCCTCGGAAATAAATGATAAATTAGGAGAAAGCATTCATCATTTATTTGAACTACACGTGTTAACAGGCTTTGCAAATATAAAGAAAAGTCACAATCTGATAAAAATTCTGCAACTAACTTGACTGAGACGTGCATCCGATATTCAGCCGATTTGCAACAAAATCGAATTCGGATTATTGTATGATGAAAGCATCAGGGTTAAAGACTAAATATTTCGATCCATAATTAATTTTATTTTGCCAAACTTGGTTTGGTAATTACCCATGGAGAGAGGAAACCCTTATTAGTTTTGAGGTCTTTTGGTCATAGGTCAAAGCAGCTTTATATAAACTGAAATTTGGGCAAAATTTTGTGTTTCCGGCTGATATATCTTTGAACCATATTTTCAATTTTTAACCGACTTGGTTTGGTAATGATCCATAAGATGAAGAAGACAGCTACTGCATTATTTTAGGACTATAAAGTTAAAGGCCAATATCACGGTGGCAATTGATAGACTGAAACTGTGGCACCATTTTTTGTTTTTAGATGATGTCTGTTAAATCATAATGTCAAACTCAAACTTTCATAAGCGGATTTTTATGAAGTTTTACGAGCAACTAGAACATGAGTTACTGCAGATGAATAAAAAAAAAGTTACCGTTATACTTTCGGAGATCAAACAAACCAATTTTTTCCTAGAAAGAAGTACAAATGTACAGATTGCAAGTAAACATCACAAACAAGTTTTGATTAATTTGACTTTAAATTGCTTTTTCTCAAAACCTGTCCTACTAATCTTCTTTATATATGATGTTTTGTCACCAAAATTTCCATTTTATTGATTTAAAATTTATAAGAGGTAACCGAATTAATTTTTGCCATATATGAGGGTGTAGATGCGGTTTTACAAAATAGGGAAAAATGGACCAAAAAATAGAGAATAATGAGGTGCTAAAATATAACGAATAGAGAATAATGGGCAAAAGGTATACAGAATAGAGAAAAATGGCCTAAAAAAATTAAGAATACAGAAATGAAGGACCCCCATCCAGACTCTCATAAATATATGTATCATTAAAATGTATAAGACATAATGATTCCGATACAGAATGCTGTCACGACCAGGCTGGTACAGGATTGGAAAATGTTCGCCAACCCACCAACCTTGTCGCCTACGTCGCCAACATTGTGAACAGTACCCCTGTTTGCCAACGTCGCCAACATTCTGAATAGGACCCCCATTCGCCAACGTCGCCAACGTCAACATTCTGAACAGTACCCCTGTTCGCCAACGTCGCCAACATTCTGAACATTACCCCTGTTCGCCAACGTCGCCAACATTCTGAACAGTATCCCTGTTCGCCAACGTCGCCAACATTCTGAACAGTACCCCTGTTCGCCAACGTCGCCAACATTCTGAACAGTACCCCTGTTCGCCAACGTCGCCAACGTCGTCAACATTCTGAACAGTACCCCTGTTCGCCAACGTCGCCAACATTCTGAACAGTACTCCTGTTCGCCAACGTCGTCAAAGTCCTTAACAGTAACCCTGTTCACCAACGTCATCAACATTCGGAACAGTACCCCTGTTAGCCAACGTCGCCAACATTCTTAACAGTAACCCTGTTCGCCAACGTCGCCATCTTTGCCAACATTCTGAACAACACCCATGTTGGCCAACGTCGTCAACGTTCTGAACAGTACCCATGTTCGCCAACATTCTAAACAGTGCCCATGTTCACAAACTTCTTAAAACATTTTAATTAGTACCCCTGTTATTCAAATTCTTCAACTTTGGAAACATTCTAAACAGTACCACTGTTCGCTTACTTTCTAAACATAACGCATGTTCGCCAACTTAAAATATATTTGATGGTATTTATATATAACAACTTCTTCGTTTCGCTTGTGTTTGTAACAATGCATTTGATTTTAACGAAAGAAATCTCTGCATTACTGAAAAATTATTACACCTGACAGTGGCGGATCCAGAAATTTTCACAAGTGGGGGCCCACTGACTGCCTGAGGGGCCCGCTCCGGTGATGCTTCAGTGATTCCCTTTATAATCAACCAATGTTTTCCCCAGAATAGGGAGGGCCCGGGCCCCCTGGGTCTCCCCTCTAAATCCGCCTCTGCCACCAGGGTTTTCATTATCACAAACTAGTCAAAACATTGACTAAATTTTATCATTGATACAAAGACATAATTCATAAACATAAATCAACATGCAGACATCTTATATGTCATGTTCAGGTACATGAGGTATTTCACATCCAATCTTTTATGGAAGTATTCTATGCAAAACACAAAAATGTTGTCATTCACCTCAAAGCTAACCAAACCTTTAAACAAACTTATTCAGAACGGATATATAGATATAATCCCATAATCCTGTTCGCCAATTTCCACAACTTCTGAATGATTTTAACAAGCACCCCTGTTCTACAGTTTAGGAATCTCTCAAACAAGTACCACCTGTTTGCTTAAATCGCCAACATTCAAATCATTAAAAAAAAACATATAAAAATAAGAATAAATAAAAAGTTATAGCTTTATCCAGACTTATTCCAGTTGAACAATTGCAACCTATCCAGAAACTAAATAGTGCTACATTTTGATAATAAAATAGCTATAGCCCATAAATAGTTTCCAAAAAGGAATACAAAAATCCTCAAAAAAGACTTAACAGCCTACTAACAGCCATTTCAAACATCATTATAAAATGTAACAAGTGCTTTAAAATAAAAAGAATATAAACATAAACATAACACAATTAATGACATGTTCAAATTGCAATCCTGCGATTCACCAAATATAGTAATCCTATTGCTTGTAGCAAATGATACATAAACCTAATTAAAACAGCCAAACATTAACCAATGAACCATAATAATGAGTCCAAAATCAGATAAACCCTGCTAGCCAACGTGTACAGCTTTCAATCATTATTTACACTTAATTAATGAAAAACCTAACAAAAAAAAAAACTCTCAAAAAATTTCTAAGCAGTAACTCAACAGTGAAAATCAGGTCAAGGACATGTACATATGACAGACATAACTTCGTAACATTATATATCTGCATAGAAATAGAATGTTAAAAGCATTCAGTTCTTAACTTCTAAAAAACTATAGGCTCTAAAGAGCCTGTGTGGTTGACCTTGGTCTAAGTGCATATTCTACAGAGGTCACTCTCCAACATTGCTCTTGTCAGATTTTCTCAATTTATAACAGTTTTCAAAATAATGGACAAAATTTGCATTTTACCCTGTGTTCTATTTTTGGCCATGTCGGCCATCTTCGTTGGCAGGCGGGGTCAGAGGACATATTTTACAAAAAAAAAATAGATACTCCAATGATGATTGTAGCCAAGTCTGGTTAAATTTTACCTACAAGTTTCAGATTATATTTATTTAAATGTAAACCATGTAAGCAGACAATTTTAAATCGACATTTATGGACAATAACTTCATTCCATTGAAATTGAAGACCTTATCTTGCCGATCATTTTTGCTTATCTAAGTTTCTATCTTAATCTATATTATGATAATGAAGATCTAAGACAAAAACACAAAAAATTGGTAAAAATAGTAATTAAAAGGCAATAATTTACTCTAATAAGGAATTGACTAATGATTTCGACCATTAGACTTATTTGTACAACTTGTCTTCCTGATCATTCTGGTATTTTAAGGTTTTTCTCTATCTATTATACATGATATAGTTTTCAAGATAATAAGCAAAATTGAGAAAAAAGGGTATTTTTTTTTCATCTAAGGGCAATAACTCCCATAACGGTTTTGACATATAGAACAAATAGTAGAGCTCAACATTCTAAACATTTTTGTCCTGTCAGATTTTCTCTACTCATAGCGGTTTTCGAAATCATAGCCAAATCTTGAAATATACCCCTATGTTCTATTTTTAGCCAAGTTGGCCATCTTGGTTGGCAGGTGGGGTTATCAGACACATTTCTTAAACTTTAAACCCAAATAATGATTTTAGCCAAGTTTAGTTAATTT